AAAGGAAAGAAACAAATAAGTAAAGTGGAAATGTGAATAAAAATGATAATATTATAGTAAACAAAAACAAATCTCAACAAATAAACTAAAACATCTTATAAAATTACAACACGTACAGAAATGTCACATTTAAAAGAAAACAACAATGTTTCAGGAGACACGATGAAGCAAAAACTTTTCTCATAATGTTCTTGAAATGTTTCTTTATTGGCTGTTGTGTGTTCTGTTTTTATAAATTGTTGCCTGTTTTGTTGATTGTTGTTTTTTGATGTTGCCTTGTTTTGTTTCTTTTAACGAAGAAAGACAGACATTTCCAGAGAAGCACATCTTTAACCTGTTGAACAAGCAGTAAACGTGTGTTTGAGCAGTTTTCCTCTGTCACTGAGCTCTCCTCCACGTTTCATTCGACCTCATTCCCATTGATTTCTCCCTCTCTGTTAAGCCCTCATATGTAATATTTCAGAGTTTGTCTGAAGAAAACCCTTCAAATGTTTGACATGAGGTCCCTGCAGCTCTGATCCCTGCCCGGGGCCGACGACATGTCAGCAGAAAACCAGAGAAGAGAAGCAAGAATGAAAATTTAATAAATGGCCACGCTGAAGGCGTAAACCTGTCATTTTTATTTTTTATTTCTTTACTCAGTAGCCTTCAGAGCCAGCTAACCACACAAATTAAAACATTTATTCTATTTATATTTATTCTGTGATCTTCCTGTGACATGATGGGTTTTATTCTTGTCTCTCCACGCCCACACAACTCTGCTGATTGATTCCGTGCAACAACAAATCTGCGGTTGAAAGAAAAGAAACAATTAAGCATCACCAGGAGCAGGTAGGAACACCAGCTTTCTATCTGCGTTACACAACCGTGGAGTTTCCACACGGCTCCAAACAACCTGTGGCAGATACTGTGACGCCTGGAGACAGGGCCGTGTGGAAATCAACAACAGGTTTCAGGCCTGCTGGCTGCTTCGTGCAGCTGTCACATCTTCCTTTAATCACCTTTTAGAACTGTCAAGTTCTTCCATCTTCACAAATGATTTTCTCTCTTCAGCTTTTGTCTGTGCTGAAACCCTGATCTGGTTTTCTTTGTGTTTGGACAGTGGGAGGACTGAGTCTGACTCCGGGTGTTGTCTGTGTTCCCTGCAGACACAGAGGACTTGTAAGAGGTGGCTGCTGCAGCACTGAGGCGTTGAATGGGTGCAGCGTGCACAGCTCCCATGTGAGCAGAGGTCTGCTGGCAGTGAGGGACACTCAGCCGTCACTGAGGGTTGTGTGTCTGCAGTGAGAACTGGGATTGTGTTGCTGTAGTCTGAGGTCAGTGAATCACAGTTTTGGAGCTGCTGAGACGATGTTTTCATTTCTGTCATTCCATCGAAGAAATTACAAAAGGTGAAAGTTTCAGACAGCAAAGACTTAAAGCTTTCGTTCAGAGCTTTTGAAGTCAGGAAAAAGGGTTGTGAACAATCAACATCTTACCTGTTGTAGATAGCTCTTTGAACAAACAGTTTAGGGAACTGGAGTTTAATTCTGACTGGATCAGCTAGCCCAAACAAGGCCAAGAGCAGTGGTGGCTATGGTCCCTCTAACAGCTAACAGCTAACAGCTAATAGTGGAATTAATTTTTTGTTGACCCGATTAGCGGTTATTCTCCTTTAGGAATATTACTTGAGTAAAAGTCTTAAAGTATGTGATATTTGTTGTAGTTAAGTATTAAAAGTCAAAGTACTGATTTAAAATGAGCAGTTAGATTTACTGTAAGGACATTTATTAGGAGGTGACCTCCCCACACTGCAAAAACTGTCCATCTTACCAAGTTTTAAAATCTTATATC